TTCTTCTATTTGAGAACTTGTTCATCTTTATGAACTTTTTAAGTCTTTTTGCAAATATGGTCATTTTTTCATCTTTATCAACTTCATCTTGTTCAAACTTTTCTTCATCTTCTTAAAATGTTGATTTGAGAGCAATATCACCTTTCTTGATTAGTTATTATCCTTTTTTTAGCTTCATCTCATAAGTAAGGAGATAACCTATGAGTTCATCCAAAAAAAGTGTGTGAGGGTCTTTGGACTCTTCAATAGTAGTCATTTTAGCTTCCCAACTCTTTGGTAAACTATTTAGGATTTTTTTCACCATCTTTACATTTGAGTAAGTCTTTCTAAGAGCCTTCAAACCATTAATGATGTCAGTAAAATAGTTTGATATTTCACTAATGGTTTCTTCTAAATTCATCTTGAATAGCTCATAATTATGAGTAATCATGCTAATTTTGGTCTCTTTCACTTGATTAGTACCTTCATAAGTGATGGCCAACTTGTCTCAAACTTTTTTTGTATTTTCATACAAAAAAACTCTATTGTACTCACTAGGCCTAAATGCATAAAAGATTGCATGCGTTACCCTGGCATTGAGTTAAACCATTTGCATCACATTCACTTACTTCATTAACCACCTCTTTATCATCCATCATCTTCATTAGAAGTTAAGGACCATTTACAATAACCATCTAAACTTCATAGCCATTAGCTTGAATAAATAATCTTATCCTAGTATTCAAATATGAATAGTCATCACCAATAAAAAAAAAAAAGTTTTATAGTGGAATGGCCTTTACCTCCAAGAGATGCAGCAACCATTTCATTTACCATGAGACATATTTCTTGTTGCCCACCATATTTGTTTTAACTTAATTATGGTTGCTCTAAATTGATCACCATACTTTTTTGAGCCATTTTCAAGATCACTCTTAGGTTGTTAGACCTACAAAATAAAATACTAGCTCTGATACCAATTGTTAGCTCAAAGACTTGAATTAAACCAAGAGGGGGTGAATTAGTTTATGATAAATTTTTCCAAATTCAATATCCAATAAGCATAAAATTTACAAATCAATTTTTCTAAGCAAATAAACATAACAAATATGAGTATATTAATAATCTTAAAAGCAAGAGATAGAGATAAAAAATCAAACATCGAAATTTATAGAGGTTAGGCTTTTCTTTTAGGTACCTACATCCTCTCCTTTAGCCTCACTTGCCAAACAATTTATTTCACTATGTGTTGATGTTACAACCTAGCTTTTCAAAGTTTTATACAATCAACAATATAATCTCTTAAGGGTTATCATCTCCCTTAAGCTCACAACCTCACAATACAAGCTTTTAAGTGTTTTACAAACTCAAAGAACATCTCTAAGGTTTGGTGTTTGCTAATTTGAAGTACAAACTAAGATTAAAAAGAATATCAAGATAAAAATAAATACAAGAAGAGTTTTTACACTTTTAACATAGTAAAAAGCTCTTTAATGCTTAGAAAAGATGATAGATGGAAGCAATAAGTTTTCTTAACTCTTGATAACTTCAAATGCAGTGAGAAACCTTCATTTATATGTTGAGAGTGGAAAATAGCCATTGCTTACATTAATAGTTTAAAGGTTGTGCAAAATTTTAAATTAAAATAGTCATTGCAAGCATTCTAGACACGAGGAAATCGATCCCCTCATATCGGGGATCAATTTGGTTAGTTAGAATTTAAACAAATTCATGCGTGAAAAGTCACAACCAATTAATCCATACATGTTACCAATCAATCTCATTTTCAAGTGATTGATCCCCTAGTCTGGGTGATCGATCATTTTTCAAAGTTTAGAACCAAAATTTCATTTTATGTAAAAAAACCAATCGATCCCTTCATGAAAAGATTGATTCTGTCTTTAAAAACCTTGAACCAATCAATCAATACAATGAGGGGATTGATTGGTTTTCATGAAAATTGCACAAAACTTCTTTCTGGCCAAAAAATGAATTGATGCCTTTAAAGATGGGATCAATCCCTTCTATGCTACTTTGCCCAATTTTGTTTTTAAACCATGCCAGATCAATTGAACATAATTTTTGAATGGATAAAAAGCTAGAAAAGTATTCAAATTAAGTTTAAATCATTTTAATTCACTTTAGCAAATTTTTGTTTCGTCATTTTAAAATATTTTATCAATTCAAGGTTGACATAAACAAAAAAATATTGAAATGTTAATCATAAGATTACTAAGTAGTGCCCAAACTACCCATTAATATTTTTTCTTACTTGCAAAAAGTCCCTTACTTGAAAAGAGACATAATCTAGAATCACACTGCCTAGAAAACCCTGCATTCAAGCTGACATTAAGATTTCAAACAAAACCAAACAAAAAGAATCATGCTACTTGAAATTAATGACTCTTTTTCATGTTTGGGTATTCGAAAAAGAATTAACAAATAAAAAATTGATTTTTGGTTTTTCTAATTTCACCAACCCACTAGAAGAACAAAAAGTCAAAGCTTCTAAGCCATTAGATTTTCATTAAAAGTAGCTTCAACTTGTTGGAAAGCTACAGCTTGGCCAAGATGTTTCTTGATCTTTTGGTTAATTAAGCTTTGGGTTTGTTTTTCTACCATCAGCATCAAAATTACACAAATAATGAGCATAAAAGTACAACTCACAAGATAAATAACTAAATAAAATACAAAGAGAAAAATCTATAATTACCTTATGTTCGTAACCTGCATTGTGTCGTTTTCTAATCAATGGCTAAAATTTAAACTTAAAAAAGAACTTTTCAACAATTGTTTTTAAATGAAACAACCAAACTAATAAACCATACGTAGTTTTCAAAATTTTCAACAAAAAATCAATTTAGAAACTAAATATGAAAGGCTAGTTTGTCTAGATTGTAAGACGGATCTTGATTTTAACCATTTTTCTTCATGAACTTTTAAAAACATGCATAGTAAAATTAAGCAAAGATGTGGAAAAGATAATTCGTCACTTTAATGAACAATTAATGGATAAAAAAGCTAAACTAATATTGTATCAATGCTAGACAAAAGAAGATTAGAGAGATAAACTTAAGCTTAAAAAATTACAAGCAAATTCACATTGGTTCAGTTTTAGCATTTACATCATACTATCTATTCTAAAAGGCCTAGCTTTTCCTTATATAGTTTCAATAAATAAGGATCCTCATAAAGGGTCACAAACCTTTTGAGGAACTTTTTTTCAGTACACACCATAGAATAAACACTAAATTTCTAAATCAATCTTTTGGATAATAAAGCTTGAAGAATCGAACACTAAGGGATAATTCTCCTTTCCAAGCTATATGAAAAAAGAACTATAGCAAACATAAACAGATAAAACAAGACAAAATAAAATTAGAAAACTTAAGGAGTCATAAGTTAAGTGCCGCAATAATCATAGTAATAACTGCAAATTGAATCCAAATAGACATATCCATAAAATGTTAAAAAAAAGTTTTCGAGTGATAATGCTAATTTCTTTAAAATTAAATAAATTGGTAAAGATCTTTACTGAAGCCTAATTAGCGAGTGACCTATAAACTAAAATGTAAGAAGGCTTAATCATTGTATCACTTATAAAAGTAAATGTCATGCCAACACAAATTCTAGTAGCAAGTCTCTCAATAACAGATACTTCAACATATTTTTCCTTGAAAGTTTCTAGAAATCTATAACAAATGGAAATCAAATGACTAATTCCATCTAAGGATATAGTGTAAATACCATGCTAAGATTAGGTTATGCATATTTAAAACAAAAGTAAAATAATTGACTCAACAAAGTTAACATACCAATTCTTTAGATTCCGTATGCATCCAATCCACTTCAAGATTGATGTCTTGTAAAATGTTGGATATAAAGTAATTGATACTATCACATAATTTATGAAAATAAATATATTGTTAAGAAAATGAAGCATAGAAGCCTTCAATGTTACCAAATCAATAAAAAGAAAAGTTTCAATACAGAAAAATGGATACATTAATTTTTTTAGCTAATAAAATGAAGAAATTTATGGGTTTTTTTTTTCCTTTCGCTATTTGATTTTTGTGTAAAAGGAGGAAGGAGTAAGAGAGAACATACGAAAAGACATGTTGGTGCATGTAGAGAATGAAACCAATGGTGTCCTTGATGACGTGGAAGATGACAAATCCATCCAAGAACTCAGTGGTCATCTCGATCTTCATGAACTTCATCTCTGTGGTACTTCCATACCTAATTAGTTGCACCAAGATAGCCAATCCCATAAATGCAAAACCATACATTTCACTTACAATCATCCTATATTTAACTCATTATTTAATTACTGCAAAAATCAAATAAAAACAAAATTGATTTAAAACTTACCATCCAAGCAAAGGACTAAAAACCAATCGATTTATTGAAATTAAATTTTGCAAATTCACGAAACTCTCCACCATAGCTTCCCTTTCATTATTCTATTCCCTGTAGGTTTCATTTCGATCTGAGACTCTTAGGTCAAATATGATTGACCTAAATCATAGCTTGACTAAAAACTTAGCTCTACGACCTCTAATCAAGTCACGATTTAAAACTTGGATTTTTTATAAAACATTGATGTTTTTGCAAGGCAGGATTGCAGATTAAGAAAGTTTCTTAAAAAAAAAACACAAAAAAAAGTGTTATTGAAAGAAACAATCCATTTAAAAAGATATAGACAAAAAGGTAAGACTTAATAACATGACGAAGGAAGAAAAAAGAGAGGATAGAGATAGTGGAGCCATTGAAATGTGGTAGCCAAAACAGAGATGAGTCAAACAAAACTTACACATGTAAAAGTTATTAGATGCCAAACGTTATTTCTTTGTATACTTTTATCTTATCATTGCCAACAACACGATATTCAAATATAAAATTATTAAGAAAAGAAAAAGATCTTTTTTATATAAGAAAGTATTGATATACATCATATATATATATATATATATTATAGCATACACAATTGCACACACTTAAGTTATTAACTAACTAGCAGGATACGGAGAAATACTTAGAAATAATAGATTATATATATATATATATATATATATATTTATATGCATCTCCGTCTTTTCCAAATGTTGTGAAAGAAATGTCATGAATGATGGATTTGACCTCATCACCCTTCTTCTTCTGTTAATGTAACTTTCTCATTTTATTTTATATGTTTTCTTCTGCGAGTACTAGTATATAACCAATTACTTAATTCAGAAAGAAAGAAAGAAAGAAAGAAAGGGCTACCATGGGCTCCGAGCAGAACAGATTCCCTCAGCAAGAACGGGTACTTTTTTTTTGCTTTACCTCATTGTTTAGATCTGTTCCTTTTGCCTTCAATTTGTTTCAGATCTGATTTCTTTTTTTTTTTTTCGCTACTGCTAGTTTGCTCAGATTTGCTTGTGAGTTTTTGTGTGGTATTGTTGTTTTTCTTTTTTATTAAAAAATGGTAAAAACAATTAAAGAAGAAGAAGAATTTATCTGAGCTGGACCCATCTGATCAAGATTTAGACTCTGATGAGATGCTGGATTTCTTGGTCTGGTTAAGTGGCTGTGCGTGTTTTCTTGACTTTGTCAATTTCAAGTTTCAACATCAGTCATCAGATTTTAATTGTTTTTTCCTTATTTATTTTGATACATGTACTTAGCTTATTGCACTCTCCATCTATAGATCCAGCCACTTTACCACCTCTAACAACTTTGCTTGTTCTATTCTGTTAGCAAAGAATTTGTCTTCTGCTATTGAAAGCTACTTGAGATCCCTTCTCTTAAACTAGATATACCTTATCTGTCTTTTCATTTCCCTTTCATTTACTTGTTCTGCACTTTCATACCTTTTGTAAATTTTTCTATCCATTCGCTGCTGCTCATACCACCTTCACAACCGATCTTAAAATCTCAACATCTAACAGCATCTCAACTCCAGTAGTAAATCTAATTCTAACAACAGAGCCAACTTGGAATTACAACATTGCAAATTTATTAATAGCACTGCTTAGCCATGCTTAAGTTTAGTGTTTAGGGCTGCATTCTTCTTGATGTACATTTTCTTTTATGTAAAATTCCTGTTCCCGTTCAGGGAACATGAATTTTCTGTTTTTCCCAAAACCCTTTGGTTATTAGGTGGAAATGCGGGTTTGGATTATCATTTCAGTTTGGTAATATTATTATCTTTACATTTTACCCGCGCACACTAAGTTACAGAACACACCATTGGTATCTCATCTTTGTAATGATTTGCTGCTTCGCTTTCTGCAAGAACTTGTGTATGTAAGCTGTGTCTGTATACGGAAAAAATTTAACACGTACATCTACAAAAAATTTTATGTGATCTGTTGGTATATGGCATGTACCTATTATACATATATGCATGAATGTCGCTCTCTTCTGCATTTTATAAAAATGTTATTTCCTGTGCATATTACTGCTTCTTGATTTCTTGTACCAGATTGTCAAGAATATGGGTATATGTCATCTGCACCGTCTTTCTATTTGCAGTAGCTTTATAGATATATTTTTAGTGCTCATATATGTGTTCCTTGATTCATCTGAAGCTTAGTCATATTACTAATTGGAAATTATTTCTTGAGGATTGCTGGTTTTAATTTGTTTAATTTCAATGTTCCTTTCCTATTGAGTGATCTGACTGAAGCTTTCAATGTTTAATCTTGTTGCTAGCGAAAGAGATGGGGAGGATGTTGGGGGGCATTTTCCTGTTTTGGTACTCAGAAAGGTAGAAAGCGTATTGTACCTGCATCTCGTATTCCTGAGGGCAATGTATCAGCCACCCAGCCAAATCATCCTCAAGCTGTTGGGTTGACCAACCAAGCTACTACATTAGCTCCATCACTTCTAGCACCTCCTTCTTCTCCAGCATCCTTTACAAATTCTGCACTCCCGTCAACAGCCCAATCACCTAGTTGCTTCTTGTCATTATCAGCTAACTCACCTGGAGGGCCATCATCCACAATGTTTGCCACTGGACCATATGCCCATGAGACACAACTAGTTTCTCCTCCTGTTTTCTCAACCTTTACAACCGAGCCTTCTACTGCTCCACTCACTCCTCCTCCTGAGTTGGCCCACCTGACTACCCCCTCTTCACCCGATGTCCCTTTTGCCCGGTTCTTGGCATCTTCTGCAGATCTTAAAAGTGCTAATAAGAATAATTATATTGCTGCAAATGATCTTCAATCCACATATTCACTTTACCCCGGTAGTCCTGCCAGTAGCCTGATATCACCAATCTCTAGGACCTCAGGTGATTGTTTGTCATCATCCTTTCCTGAACGGGAGTTTCGTCCACACTGGGATCCTTCAATTTCTCCCCAGAATGGCAAACATTCAAGGAGTGGTTCTGGCAGGCTATTTGTGCATGATGTAACTAGTTCTTCCATAGGGTGTCAAGATACAAATTTCTTCTGTCCTGCCACATTTGCACAATTCTATCTGGATCATAATCCTCTTCCTCATGCTGGTGGGAGATTAAGTGTTTCCAAGGATTCAGATGTTTATCCTATTAGTTGCAGTGGCCATCAAAATAGGCAGAGTAAAAGTCCTAAGCAAGATGTGGAAGAACTTGAAGCTTACAGAGCTTCCTTTGGATTTAGTGCTGATGAAATAATCACTACTTCTCAATATGTTGAGATTTCTGATGTTACAGAGGACTCATTTACCATGACACCTTTTCCTACAGATAAACCCACTTTTGAAGAAAGTATGGAACTTGCATCAATTGGCAAAGAACCAAAGACAGATAGGATACTGGAAAACTTGCTGGGTGAGAAGAAACGGAAATCGAAACCTGATATTGTCAATTGGGTTGTACACCATGATGTGCAAGTGTCATGCAATGGATACGAAGGTGAAGTGTCCGCTACTTGACTATATCTTGTATATGTATACGATGTTGACTATATCTTGTGTGTGTGTGTGTGTGTGTATATATATATATATACATATATATATATATGATGTTGACTATATCTTGTATATTTTGTCTACTTTCAGTTTCTCCAGTTCATGCGGTACATATTTCTGATAGTGGTATCTTGTTTCGATGGGAAAAAAAAAACAAAAAAACAAAAAACAAAAAGAAGAAAAGGAGAGAAATGATATGTGAGAAGTGAAGAAAAGTGAAATTAAGTTTCTAAATGAGAATAATTAGATAATTTTACAACAAAGTTTTTACCCATGTTTTGTACTTTAATTGGTCGAATAGATTTGTGATAGTGTGTAAATTTGTTTTAATTTTTAATTTCTTGTTCTTCTAAAATCCCACTAACAATGTGCTAAAGAAGTTCTCTTTGCTTCTTTTATACTTCTCTTTTGATCTTGCTATCTGAATGACTCTATGCTTCATTTCTCTCATTAAGATAGTGCCAGTGGTAATTAATGTTTGTGTGCATCCAGCATAATTTCTTAATTGAGAATCTATTCCTCCAATAAGATCAACTGCTTTGAAGAAATTCTGAGTGATAATTTTTGGTATTAGTTTTCCTACTTTACCATATGCTAGGTTAAAATTATCTGGTAAGACATGCGGTGCCACTTAAACCTAAAGATACATATTCTGAATTTTCACATTGAAAGGAGTAAAAGACAATAGGCATGAATAGCATTCTGATAATATTGGAGGCCATGATGAATCAAACAATCCATTACTCAAGAAAATTTAAGTTGCAGAGGTCCTGGACTGCTTCAGGATTATATTTCTCTAAAATGTGTCTAATCCATCTTAATAGGATTCTCTTCCATTTCTGTTTTCTCTGTGTTATTGTGCCCTGTTACCTGAAAATCAATAATGTTCTTTCCTTATATGATACAGATCACAAATCAGAAAGGCAGGTGACTGACATCTCTGGATCAAGTACATCCATCAACCATACCCTGACTGATGAAGAGGATGTATTTTTGAAGAAGGATTCATCAAGGAGCAGGAAATATCATCTGGGCTTGTCAAGCTCTGATGCAGAGATTGACTATAGGAGAGGAAGAAGCTTAAGAGAAGGCAAAGGAGATTTTGCATGCCACGACTAAGAACCAAATTTAGAAACAAGTTATTAGCTGCTTCCTTATGTAGTAAACTGCAGTTTGCTTTTGTTATAACTTGTGTTACTGGTTCTTTATGATAGGTGGAATGATCTTAACTTGTGATCTAACCAGCTGGTACTTTTCTATGTTGTCCATCTCTCAGTCAGGTGTGTGACTTGATCTCTCTGATTATGAGTGTATTCTGTTATCTGTGACCCTAAATTCCTGCTTCACTAAAACTGACATGTGTGATGCATGTAATTATATATTATTTATACTTTTTGTAAAATGCAATCTTACTCAAGTGTATTCTACTTTAGAACACATCATTCGGACTGTTGAATGCTGCTTCTAGGAACTTCGTTGGCTATGGCCTTGCACTTGTTCTTACGAGACAGAAGACAAAAGGGGGGGGGGGGGGGGGGGGTGTGTGTGCGCCTGCGCGCTCGTGTGGAGGGGGAAATGAATCCCGCAGAAGGGGGAATGGAGTGAAATCCTTGTATGGATAATTTTTGGTTTAGGTGCGGGTAGGGAGAGGAAGGGAGGCAGGGAGGGGAGCCTAGCTTGGTTTATTATATTCATGTTTGGTTACGTGTGGATTCATATTTGTGTATTATAATGTGATAGCCAAGAGAGTAAAAATTTAAAAGATATAAAGGAACGCATAGAGGTACAGATTTTTTAAGAGATTTAATTAGACTTTCGGCATTTGAATATTGAAAATATATATAAATTAGTACTTAAAAAAATTAAGTGTATAATTTGCATCTTAAGCTTTTAAATATCATTTTAATCAAAAATTTAATATTGTAAACTTAATTCGCCTATATAACATAAAATTAGTATAATTTTATTATATGTTTGTCATTTGTTAAACAAAAATATTAAATATTATGTTAAAATTTTATATAGATGTTACGTGATAAATAATAATTGATCGAATAAATATTTTTATTGTTTAGGTAAAATATATATTTTTTAATTCGAATTAAAAAAGGATATGGTTAAAACCAAAACTAGAAAATATTTTACTGAAGATTACATGCATGCGTGCATGTACATACACATACACATATATTTATAGTATCAATTTATATATTTTTTAAAATTTAAATACTAAAAATGTAGTAACTCTTTTTAAAATGACATCTTAAATCGGAAATGACGACTCCCAGAGATTATTGCCAAAATGCTACTACCAAACTGCCTCTTCTTTCCTAATAACTAGACAAGCCGTTGAAATGCACAACCAGACATGTCCGCTGATTCTGACTCCCAAAGCTTGGAGCCTCTTCAAATCAACATTTGGCTCCATTTATAAGAAAACAGTTTCTTCTCCGCACAGATTTTGCTTGTTCAATGCCACAGATTTCCTCATGGAATTTCTGGCCTTGAGAGGATATAGCCCCATAATGCATACACTTCCTACTTCTATGATCATAGGCAGCTCAGCCTAGTTGATTCTCACCGCCATAATAGATATGAGCAGAAATGATTCGTACAACTTGGTCTAAACCATATTTTTGAAATCCTACATCAGGCTATTAACGTTCTTATGAACAGAAATAAATTGACCTAAGAATCCAATTTAACTCGCTTAACTCTGAAAAGTTGCGTATAATCAACAATAACGAGACAAAGTAGCGTATAACAACATCCCATAAATAAGCAAATTGGTGGAACTCGCATCTATGACCGAAACCGTAACTCAGTATGTAGTACACGAGTCAATGTTGTACAAGTGGAAATCCACCCCATATAATCATATAATTATGTACTTGTAGAAAACGGCAATGTGAAAGGGGGTTTCAGTGCAAAATGAGCTTTAAAATATGGCAAATCAAATTTATTCAATTTACATTTAAAAATAGGGTTGAAAAGGAGGACGAGGAGCACCTATTAATTAGGCTTAATTCATCCAAAATTGCCATCTCTATACCATGCACTGAATAGAATCTATCAAATTCCCAATTAATACAAGTCTATCGGCATCAAGATCATGTATTGCCATGAATCTGGCTTTTCAACAGAATGTATTTAGTGTGACATTGACATGGCATCTCCATGATTGCTTCGTGTGCTACGACTTTGTTGCTTTTCCCTTCAAATAATCCTGAAAGTTTCCACCATACTACAAGCTGGTAAATTAAGAAATAAGTCTGAACTGGATACCTATTCAGAGAAAAAGAAAGGGAACGCTGAACGACAATAAGGAGTTGGGAGATATTTCCTTGTGTGTTTTAAACCAATCTTCTGCTTAGCACCTTATCACCAACACAACAGCAAATGGCATCAAAGAGATTCACGTTGTTGGCCTTGTCATAATAGATAAACCACGCCCTACAGGAATAACTCCCTGAAAGCCTTCATTTGATTCTTCCTCTTCTAAGGAAGCTGCACAGAAGTTTATGAAAATGGAGAAAAAACCTCTTCTAAGAAACCAAGATTAAGAAATAGTTCTTATCCTAAAATAATTAAGGATTCATTTGATTGATGCTTTTACTGTTTGCTTTTTGCTCTTCTTGTAAAAATTAATAAATAAAATAAAATAAAATAATAACGAGAAAATATCAGACAAGTAACAAAAAGTAAAAAGCTAACAGAGCCTAAAGGTTAGAACTTAACATTTTGGGTAAAATTAACTTAAAATTTTGTGATAACATAATGTTTTTTAAAGCAAAATTTATATATTTTTAAGAAATTGTAGGGCTTATTGTTTATACTTTTATTAAAAACTAATCAAATTATATACAGTAAATATACATCTATATAATATATTTTTATATTATTGTATTCCCGTTCCTGTCCTAACTTTTTAAATCCTGTCGTATCACCATGTCCATATCATCTCACACCCATCTCTCACGTACATCCGTATCTGTGATTCCTAGGATCCAACTTTGCATCTAATCAAGTTTCCAGAAACTAGTTGATTGGCTAAGAAATTGACTGCTGTTTTCAGATTTATCAGGTTCACTAAAAGGGCAGCTAAACATTCCTAATATAATGCTGAAGAACATTGAGGTATGCCTTCACCCATAGTACCTTCACCGGCATGAACCCCTGCAATCCCAATACACGAGTATGAAGAATCCTCATCCACCTTCAGCTGGTCGTAAGCAAGGTAGATGTCTTCAATAGAAGCAGCCTCATATAGAAAAGTAAGCTCTTTGACACAAGATATGCCCTGAATTCCAAATAAAGAAAATAGGGAATTTATTACCATGAGACTAGTAATAAGAAATTAAACATATAAGTAGAAGTGACAAATGAGAATATAATAACATAATGTAAAGACTGCACTATCTGATTTCATTTCACCTTTCTTGGAACAGAAGAAGCTTGTAAGTGAGCCAACAACCCAAGCCAATAGGCATTTGACTTAATTTCTGCTTCATGTCTCATTATAAGAGTCCGCTTTGCCTGTAGATTTAAGGATTGCATTTATAAACTTCAACAATTGAAAACTAGCTTATGTAAATTCTTCTTTTTTCACCTGAACCACATACTTTCACAACAATTTCTAATTACATGGTAACATATGAATAACATAATAGTTGTATAAGAACTAACCCTCTCCGGTTCCCATCAGGCAATCTTGTTGATATGCAAACCTCTAAGAACGTTCTTGCAAGCGTCAACAGCTTTATATACCTGGAAGTTAATGAGCCAAAATTTTGGTAAAGTGGTCAAAAAGACAAATAATGATAAGAACCACAACAACAAAAGAATGCAGATGTATCTGGATTGACCCCCCACCTTGCTTGGAGTTGATGTTACAGATATCACATACCATCCAAGCTTAAGTCGATCAAAGAGGTTCAATTCAAATGATACATCATATGTTAATCCAAGAGAATCCCAGACTGTTGTAAAAAGCCTCAAGTACGGGAGAATTTCCATTAGGTAATTGCCAAAAACATGTATGGATTTGGAAAGGATACTCCAAAGGGGGGTAAAAACATTAAAACTTGAAAGATAAACAAAATTTTAACTAATAGTTGCAGGTGGAATAAACCTAACACTCCTGATAGCAATTTCAAAGTTCAGGACTTCTGTCATCTAACAGTGAAACAAGGTACAAGTTGCTGAAACAACCAAGAAATGAACTCTTTGCAGCCACTAACAAATGCACTTCGGAACAATTATACTTCACTTGCTCAAGAAGAATTACCTAGAATTTATAACCTCAGCCAGCAGCCCCATTGTTATGCCAAAGAAAAGTGGATGACCACAAAGCTTTCTTTGCAGATTCTTCTGAACATCTTTTCCCTCCTCAGAATGGGGTTGTGCATCTGCAAAGCAGTTGACCAGCCATAAGATAAGAAAAGAACATTTGTTTAAATTTCAAGGAAAATACACCTCATTTTACATAAATATCCCAGAAAAGTTGTTTGAGAATATATATCATATATCATTGTTTTTGTTTAAAAATTATTTGAAATTATTTAACTCCTGTTATGCTAGATAAACAGACCCATAAGCTCATACAATAAACGAGCAAAATTTTGGCTCACAGGGAAACCAATAACACGGGAGATAAGAGGAAGGGAAAGATAAAGCTACTCTTAAAGGCAAACTGAAAGATAGACTAAAGGGCTATGCTCAAGCTGCTAGAAAATGGAATTGCTCCTATCGCAAAATATGCAAGATTGCAATGCCATGAATCAAAAGCACCACTGACCCGCATGATTCTCAAAGCCTAAGCTCAAGTGTTAGTAGTGATTAACTAGAATCGTTACATACATGGATCTGACCATTCAAATTCATACCCAATATGGTATGGGCTCTCACATGAGATATCATCACGACCACACATCACAATCACGATCAATGCCCACTCTACAGGAACCAAGAACCAAGTTCATACCAGTACAGTGCAAGAGCCCACATTTACCAGCAGAAGGATTGTTACAACTTTAATGATCAGGGTCTAAGGAACAACCTTTTCAGGCATATGTGGCCCTCAAAAGCTTAAATCAAGTTGTTACTACTAACTGACTATAGGCCTCATATAAGTCTCATTATTCACATTCATATTCGATGATGGGGGTATCACAATCCCATCAACTCAAATCTTTGATGCCCTCACCAAGACCACACATCACAATTACAATCAAGCTCCACACCACATAAACAAGATCTTACCATCGCAGTGTGAGAGCCCAAACCTAACTGGTACATGCTCTAACACCAACCTATCGCCCCAAGCTCAACCACCACTGATCTAGCAACTTGTAAAGCCTAAACCATGTTACCTTCCAAAGAAAGAGCTCAAGTTGTTAGTGGTGATTGACTAGATATATGGGCC